TGATTACTGCAAATCCCAAGGAGCATGTGGCTCCCCACATGGGGGAAGAACTATCTTCTGGGAGATGGCATGCACAGGGACCTGCTAAACCTCACCAGGTCCCTTCACAGCTCTTCAGCGACGCTGCCGTGTGCACGGCTCAACTTGACACCCTGCCCCTGCCTCACCAGACCAGGTGCAGAGCTTCACTTCTCCATTAGCAAGAAAGTAGATTACTATCCCTCAGTGACTGAAACTGATATATTTTAAAGTTATTGCACCTTCTAAATCCTAGGTCATTTTATATTTCAAACATCAGACTTTTCATCAAGCTCATTTTAATCTTCTTCTAGATGGAAATTCACTGTCTTTTAAGGTACCACTACCACAGTTCTGAACTGAATTTACACCGCCAGATCAGCACAAGGGGAGCCAAACAATTTGACCTTGGTTTCTATTTCAGATAATTACCAAGACACTGTTCTGGACAAGAATCTTTAGCCAGATAAATACCTCTCTGCAGGCCAACCACTGTTCTCCTTCCCCCTCTGTGCACCAAAAGCTTCAAATGCTGTAAAATCAGTTATAAACAGAGTGCTGCATTATAATGCTGCTGATCGGTATTATGGAAATGCCCAGGATAGCTGCAGATGTAATCAGGGAGTCAAATAATTCATGCTTTTATTTAATACCTAATCATACATACCTCCACCATTATCTTGCTCTACAAATATTAAGACTACAAGTGTGTATGTCTGTATAAAACAATGACATTCAAAGCTAAGATCTTAGTGGGGAAAAAAAAACAGCTGTGAGTTTTAAGTTATTTTCAAACATGTAAACCTTTTCATTCATTCCTAAACTAAGGTTTTTAGTCTGACATAGTGAACCTTCAAAAAAACCCTATGAAAATTAACCAGTCCAAGTACAAAATGACCTTGCCTAGCATTACACAGCAATGATAATGAAAGCAAAGGACTACTTAGTACTTATAAAAAATAATTATTCATTCTGGATTAATGACTAAGCAGATCATACTAAGGATGTTTAAATTTTAAAAATGAGTTTGTTTACTTTTTAAAGTTTGTAAAACACCACAAAATATCTACAGAATTTTATTAATATTTGCGAACAAGGTTTTCTTTTGCCAGCAAAGCAATCGGGTAGCCACAGGGAAAGTTAATCAAAATACTGAGGTGAAAAAGAAAAATTAATAAGCAAAAGCTTATTAATTTTTAAGAATTTTTAAGAGCCAAGCATGACATTTTAAACTGTATGCCATCCAGTAGACTTACCGTGACATTGTAATTAATGCAACCCATTTGCCACTAACAGTGAGAGAGGGACATCTGCTTATAAATTCACCTTGGAGACTAGAAACACTTGGAGATTTCCAGAAGTCAAATTAAAGTTAAGAGGCATAATGATCCGGCAAGACTTTCCCAATCAATAAGTCACTATCCATCATACCAGGTGTTCCCCAGCTGAAAGCACAGGCAGCACCCTGCCCATTTCTGCCAGCCGCGCTGCCCAAAGGGTGCTCTAATTCGGGCTGCTAATTGTAAAAGGAGACTATTAAAGCAAGTCAAAGAGCAGCCAGGCTTTTTCCACTGACAGATGAATTAAAGGGTTGAAGAAGCGCACCACGATGCACATGCTGAACTGCTGGTCCTGTGCAGGCATATCGCAAATGTCTTCCAGCTACCGGTCCCAGTTTGAATTAAAAGAGCATGGCTTTTTAAACCTGCAGTATACAGTTCCAAAAAAGCCCTTTAAAGTCAGATTCTGATCAGTTTGCCTGTTGACACGCCATGGATTTTGGGGACATTTCCACAATGACAGCAATGTGTTTGTTCGGGGGGACTCTTGTGGCCACGTGGACACAGATGTGAATAGCTCTGGGTTTATTTTGGTTTTCTATAGCAAATGTCACTGCAGGTCTCAGTAAGTGAAACTATATCCAGCAGGTACTAATCAGCAGACCCTAATGCCAGCAGGCTCGCACCGGTTTGCCCTCTTGAAAGGAATCTGAGGAAATGGAACAGGCATTACATGAGCTGGGGAATAATTTTAAATTTTGGCTCAAGCTCTTTCAGAGCATCAGTACCAGTGAACCTGAAAGCCACGCAGCACAGCTGGATTTCATTTTTTATTGTAATGCCAAAAACAGGTTTAAAGAAACTCAGAGAGCTTATTAAATGACTTTTGGAACCGAAATCTTCTTTGTCAGCTCCTCAGCGGGGTGAGGTGTGGGACAGGGTGGGGTTGAACAGGGCTAATACATTGCCTATGGATCAGCAAAACCAGCCCCTGCACTCGTTTGGCATCCCTGTACCACGTGAACTCAGCCCTCAGGGAAGTTTATTCAAACCCAGCAGAGCCCAGCCACTTAAACTGGTCCAGATTTGCTTCTCCTTCAGGTTTCTTTCACATCAAATTCTTCTGGTTAGCCAGCTTTGGGAACCATAACTCTTTTCTATTATCTACCCAAGTCTATGTATTTTTTCCCCATTAATTCACCTAGTACCTTTGTGCTGAAACAATCCAGATATGATTTAATAAGCTTTAGAAAGATAGTACTGGTTCATATGCAGAAAATCAGATTTACATAATTTTTCACTCGCTTTTATAGCCACCGTAGTTCAAATTATCTTTACGTTGGGGAAACCCTTTTAATATGATAAAATGAAATACCACCTACGCTATGCTTCAGCTTGCTAGCCTGGTTTTTGTAATAAATTAAATGTTGATTTGTCTTACTGACTTATCACAGAAAGTTCCTTCTTAATGAGAAGAGAAGAAAGCACCCTGTCCTGCAGTTAGTCATGGTTATAATTCACTAAACTAAGCTTCAAAATCAAGTTTCATCTTGTAAATTTTTTTATTATCTGAACTTTTCTTCAGGGGGGGAAGGAATGATTTTTGGTTCTATCACACACTCTGTGCCTAATAAAATGTCATATGTTGAGAATGGACCCAGTAGAACATAGCTCAGATTTCTCTATAGAAAGCAAAGGGTTGTTTATGTTTCAGTGTTCAGACTGAACAAGACTTGAAATTCAGGAGACTGCATCCTGCAAAAGCAAACCTCCTCCCTGCACACGCCACCAAGCGAGGTCCTGCTCTCCTCCCTGGGCTCCATCCTGCCCACACTGTGCAAGCCTCCCGGACACCCTGGCAGCATGGCTCACGTCTGCCATCAGGGATGCTTTGTTTCTCCTCTTCTCCTCTGCCCAAAAGAGAAGCACGTGAGGATTTGGTGAAGTTTGCTTACTCTGAAACACTGCGTCCGCTGTATCCTGGTGTCTCCCCGCCAGAGGTGGAGTTGGCACTGGCGAGGGGCAGCGGTGCTGTCAGAGGTGGCTCGCTGCTGGACAAGGTGGTGGGTCAAGCTTTGGCTTGGCCCCAGGGAAACTGTCTTCTGCACTGTTGGTACCTGTTCCATGTAGCCATCTCCCATGTATCTGCACAGTAGAGCTGTTGGCTGAAGTCTTCTCTTCAGACCATCTCTTGGTGTTCTTGGTCCAGATAGCCCAGTGCCTTGAGGACACCTTGGGACAGCAATGTAACAGCGGGGTGAAAGGAGAGATCCTGCAGAAGAGGCAGGATCCTCCATGTGGTATCCAATCCCCCCACTAACCCTGGGCTCCGAGGCGACCTCTCCTCTTTGTTCACACATAGCTCACATGTTTTTCAAAGTAACCACATTAGTGGTTTCTCCCTTTTGCAGCCAAGCCTTTGGGTTGAGCATCCCCAGCTCTTTCAAGATGGGTCATCAGGAATGAGCTTGGAAATTTCTGTCCCCCTCCTGCCTTTCCGACACCTCTCTCCTCTGCAAGGAAAAGGCCTTGAGCACCAGGACATGGGCACCAAGCTGGCTCAGTCTTGCTCAGCATCCGCCATGTTTCTGGGATCTCCATCCATGTTTCTGGCAGACATTGGGTCAGTCTAGTAACGGCAACTTGTATCTAAATAAGCAAATTCTGCAACTTGTAAAATAAAGAACCATTGACATAAGCGATGCCTGCTTGTAAAAATGGCACTCAATACAAGACTTGCACAGATATTATGTTTTAGAATAATCTATATTATATTCATACAGTCTGGAAAGCAAAACCTTTGATACCAGTGTTCAACCAAAGAGCACAGGATTCTGTGTACGTCTATAAGAGGCCGGGGTTTCATGCATTGTATAAAAGAAAAATATTACATTTGAGAGAAATTTTGTACAGAAATCTGCTGGCCAAAGTGAGCCTACAGTGTTTATTCAACAGCCAAACATCCCAATAGCATCGTCCTGATAGCTTCAGCTCGGTGCAGGGTGAGATAACAGGTCCTTTTCCTTCCTCCTGCCTGTGGCTTTTCAAGAACAAAATCATCGGTTTCTGCCTGGGTCCGTTCCCACACCGCAGGCCGGATAGCCAGCAGATGCTTGCAACTGCTGCAAATGATTGTCTCCTCACTTGTTTCTCAACACTGTTTTCTTATATTTTAACTCTTTTTTGCATGCACTTACTGTAATATTTACTTAGGAATTTGAGAAAGGCTTTGTATTAAAGCAAGTAAATACAATTTCTTCAAAGATACTGAAAATAAATATTAATCTCTTTGGCTAAGCAAAATTGTCAAACTTTGGCTTCTAAAGTCAGGCAGAAAATGAGTTGTTTTCCAACAGAGCTAAATATATTCACCTCTCATTGATTTCAGTGGAGATCTTAATGCTCAGTAACTTAAAAACAGATAAATTATTCAGATGTTTAAACATGAAGAGCTCATCTGATGTTAAGTACTCACGTTTTTAAATGCTTGCCTTAATAATGATTTATCCTCTTTAAAACAAAAAGTAATATTCACCGAGCAGTGTAGCAGGAGGGCTTGGCTACCTTTGCAGCATTTTCTTCGGTTTTCAGAAGAATGCTTTTGCTGCCCTAATAGTTATCTTAGAAGAATTAATGAAAACAAAGAATGTGGGGGTCTAAGTGTGGAAATTTTCACTTAACCCCTTTTTCTTCTCTTTGCAGCTCCCAGTACAGCCCAGTATGGGATCACCGGTGATGCCGAAGTCCTCTTCTCCTGCTGGTACCTTGTGTTGACACTGTCCTCCCTCACCAGCATATTCTACCTGAAGAACATCATTCTGCACTAAGTGTAAAGACCCATAAAAGGCTTTTAAGGATTCTCTGAAAGTGCTGATGACTGGATCCAATCTGGTAGAGTTTGTTAAAAGCAGCGTGGGATATAATCAGCCGTGCTTACATGGGGATGATCGCCTTCTGTAGAATTGCTCATTATGTAAATACTTTAATTCTACTCCTTTTTTTTGATTAGCTGCATTACCTTGTGAAGCAGTACACATTGTCCTTTTTTAAGACGTGAAAGCTCTGAAATTACTTTTAGAGGATATTAATTGTGATTTCATGTTTGTAATCTACAAGTTTTCAAAAGCATTCAGTCATGGTCTGCTGAGTTGCAGACTGTAGTTTACAAAAAAAAATATTGCAGTAAAAATGTGCTTCTTTAAGGCTGCAATACAAATATTCAGTTCCCTTCTTAAATAGCATTCTATCCACATTTACACAGAAACATTTTCTTTTTTGATAAAAAAAAAATTAAATAATATTGCCTTCAAAATATTTCTTCAAAATATTACACATATCTAGATTTTCTTCTAGCATGATATTCAGGTTTCAAGAATGAGCCTTGTATTATAACTGCATTGTGCAGTACTGCTTTCTGTTTTCTTTCCTTTTTCCTGCAAATTCAGCATGGGTGTGCCTTCATAAAACACTACTTTCCTCTTCCTCTCCAACAAAGGTAGAATGTGTTTTGGGAAATGCTAAAGCATCCTTTTGAGCATAATAAATCTCCAGCTGAGGACAAAGGTGCTATTGGCTAAAAGGAAAACCTCCTCTCCCATCTCCAGGGGGTCATCGAACTGCTTCAGACTTAACGTTTTTAGGCAATCAGTCAAGGATAGCACCAACTCCTTTTTATGTTTTCCATCTACCACCACTAACCAGTAGGCGATCTCTGTAAAAACTAGTTTTCCCATTACAAAACAGAACGCAAATTATTTTGAGACATCTTTTGAATGTAGGAACGTTTCCCTTAGTCATTCTAAATCAAGATTCCTAAATGGCTGTAAATGTGAGAAGCTGAATAGTCCCTTTTGTATTACTGGCAAAAACTATGTGAATTGGTATTTTTCTTGCACTTAATTTTGTACTGGTTTGGCTAATTTAGCAATGATAAAGGATGCTTTTAAATATTAGATATCTGAAAATACATGAAGTATCAAGCAGAATTTTATATATATACATATATATATAAAAAATACATATATATATTAAAATGAGGTTGCTCCAATAACTGTACTGAAGTGCATGTTGCCGTCCATGATAGAAACATCTTTACAGACAGGACTTCATTACCGATGTACTAATATCTTACCACAGCAGTTAAGTCTTCATACACGATTTCCTAGTACTGCAGTCTATCAAGATAACACTCTCATTTCACTCAGTGAAGGATCAAGTTTCAATATAGCACATAATGCTACTAACTTTTTTTTGAAACAGCCCCAGACAGCATTAATACAAAACGTTGCTCACAGTTTACAGCTGAATTTAAAAATGCCATCTGTGTAAATTGCTGGGACATGACTATGGCCAGCAGCCCTTGAATGCAAGATCTCCTGGTGACCCCAATAGATCTTGACTTGCTTACAAAACAACTATTGATGACAAGAATAATAAAATCATTATCGACGTTATTATTCCCCTGTTTTGTATATGAACTCCAGTAGGCAACACAGTTATTATACTACATTTTTTTCTCCCAACAATAGGTTTTTGTAGCTAGCAATACCAGATGAGCACTGTGCATACTCAGCAGTTCCAAATTCAGTTTACAGATACCCTACATTTTGAAAAGGCAGACTCTGAGTTTCGCTAGTCTCAATACATACTATCCCATGCTAATGTGTAGACAGAATATGCAGTGAATCTGTTGTAGTTAGTGATAAAGGATATAAACAGAAATATGTTGACTCCAAAATATGGCAATAAAATGTCCCGGGTCACTCTGCATATGTTCAGTGACAGACCATAGTATTCCTACCGTATTATTTACAGCCGTGTGCTAAGCAGTTACTATTTTCAGAAATGTGGCATTTTTTAAAACCTTGAATAACATGACAAAATTCATTCTTTAAGGAAATAGTATAAAACCAATCCAAACTATATTATATACAGTCCTGATATTCTGATCTCTCTTGTATTGCAGCTTTAAAGTGCTATATTTTAGAACCCACTCACTAGAAACAGTGGTGCTGCAGAAAGTATCATGTCAGTACAGTTTTATGAAGAAAGAAAAAAGGATGCGCATAACCTAACTCATACGCCTCGTCTCACATAAAATTGAGAGATGTTTCTATACTGTGGCTGGATCAATTTATATATTTCAATGATATATTTCATTTCAGTGATTCCTGATATCTGGATCCTGATATTTCCAGCAACAGAATAGAATAAACAGCAGCTTTATTAAATAAATAAAAAAAAAATTAAGTATTGACTGCTTGCATTCGTACCAGGTAGAGCCACTGGATAACGTGGATAAGATATTCAGTCCCATCTCTGAATTTTCACTTAAATTTGGAGGGGACATAATTACGTCAAGTCAAAAAAGAAAAAAAAAAACCACAAACATTTCTAGGTGCCAATGGCATTTCCTTAGATGAAATAGGTATTTAATATCAGTCAGACCTGCGTGTTCAGCAGTGGACGTGTGTGTGTGTGTGTGTGTGCGTGCGTGCAAAGCGCAGTGCGAGGCGTGCCGGGACTGCGCACACGCTGCCGTGTGCCCTCGGTGTCTGTAGGGTTAGTCTCCTGAAGGTTGCTTATGAGACTCTGCCCACTCAGCCCTCCAGTCCTACAAAGAGATATAGCCGTGCTTAACTTTATGCACCGATTAATTCAACAGACATAGTACATGGAGTCAAACGACCTTAATTTTTGCAGGATTGGAGCTGTAGGCGGTGTTGATCAAATAAAGAAACTTGGTTCTTGGTGAATCTGTTCCATGCGGTAAACTGGTAATTGTACAGATTGGGACTTATTGGGGCATTCTTCCAAAACGGACGGTGCAGAGTGCTGCAAATTGAACACAACATTTTACAAAATCTACCCACCCTTTAATTTGTGGGGTGTATTTGCTTTAGGCAACTGTTTGAAGGTATGTTCTATGCTTCTTCAAAGGATTAACCCATACTGTTCATATCTGTCGGGCAAATATTATTATATTTATTCCCACCTTTCAAACGTGAAAAATAAATGGCTTAGCTCCAAGCAGTATAACTGAATATTTATATCAAGATTGTTGTCCACATTGGAAACCCCAAAGTCTGTAACACCGTAAGTTCCTACTTGTGCAATAACTCAGGTCTGCAATTACCATTGCATTGGTGACATACATAGAAGCAATGATGCTCTAATTATACAGTTGCTGATCGTGATATTATACTAATACTGAATTAAAGGATGTCTCACAACTTCTTGAACAAATGCAGTTTCTCAAGGGTTTATAACTTGGCAGGAAATGTATCCTTCATAGCTAGACAGCTTTTTTTAAACTTTTCAAGATATATACTTTTTTTAGAAACTATGCTGTTTTTAAGATATGGGAGTGTGTTAAAAACCGTCACCATTAAAAGCAGCAAAAAAGCTGCTTTTTTGCACATTTTCAGAGCTAGCATTCTAGACGAACAATGGTAAATGTTATGCCTACCAAAATCTCTGCTCAGTCCACATAACTGTGTTATAAAGAATGTGTATACCAAAATATGTACTTTCATGGATAAACAATATGCCTTAAAGACTAAATGTGCATTTACTTCTAAGACTGGATCAGACTTGTGCCCAGTCTGGAGGTAAATAATCCATATTTCATAGCCTGCCATGGAAAGTTTTGTTTCTTTGGAGAAAAAAGAAAAAAAAAAAAGCATTTCTTTTAAAAGAATCTTAAATAATTTTAAAATTCTTGCATAAACTGACATATGTGAGGAAGTTTAGGAAAAGGATAAATTTTAGCCTGACACTTTAGCACTGGCAATGCGTTGCCTCACTTGTGGGGTTTGCTGTGGGGGCTGGCAGTGCCGCGGCGCTGCCAAAGGCTCATCACATCCCCTTCCATGTCCCTTTGTATGCTTAACTCCCTCAGGTGGCCCTGAGCCAGGGCAGAGCGAGGTGCCTGGGTGCCCCCTCCTCCCGCAGCACTGTGGGAAGAGGGGCCACACACCCACACCCCGCCGGCCAGGCTACAGCTTGCAACACAAAATTCTTTAAAACAAGAAAATAGTGGGGAAAAAAAACTTAAAAAACAGGAACTAAAAATTCTCCATTCAGCCTTAATATTGAGAGTAGATAAATAAATATTGACATCAAAGGGAGGAATTTACTTTCAATTTGACTGACCTTAAGCACTGCCATTGCACATGCAGGGATGCTGCAAACACACTTATTTTCAGTTGGCTCTGGTTTTCAGTCCTGTTTTATGTTTCTCTGCTGAGCATTGAGGGGAAGGGAGGGAATTTAGTCTGCAATCAGAAAAGTCCATAACATAACTGAAAACAGCCAGGTCAAGGCAATGGCACAAGAGTCTCAGGATAATTTGGAAAGGATTCTCAATAAATCCTGCTCCAAAAATTTTGTATCAGCAAGGGCGGCGAGATTTTTACTGGGGCATCTTCAGCACTGAGCATATACCTATTTGTTCCTATCGCTTTCTGCCCACTTTATGCCCGAGTCATGAAGAGCTCAAAGGTTCCTTTATAATAGAAAATTCCAGTGTTAAAAAATGTAGAGATCAGTATATTTGCCACCTCCCACAAGCTCAGTTTTCAGTCATTCATTTTTTAAAGCATATTAAGCTTTCCCATTGCTTGGAAGGGTGTAAATCTGCATTATAGGACAAGCTGTGGGGCCAATTCCCATCCTTCTTTGGCTACTTCGTTCTCTTCTCAAATGAAGCTGCAGCAAGGCCATCAGGTCTCTGCACAGGAAGGCTCCCGTGCTGGGGAGGCTGCTGCATGATGCATAATGGTCATCAGCTGCTCTGCATCACCTACACGCTGATGTCTCCATAACTCCTGCCTGCCAGAATTATCCCTGAGGATTTGCTTTAATTTATGCCACCAGCAATCCCGGTGTCTGGAGAAATGCAGGAGGGACCTTTTCCTTTGCTCTCACTCCAGACTCGGTTCTCCCAAGCGATGAACTTTCAACCGAACCGCAAACAGCAATGAAAAATAGCACAGCTGAAAGTCATTTTACTTGCAGTCCCTTTCATTGCCTCAGCCCCCAGGGCAGCTGGACAGCAGGTAAACCTTAGCCCCCATTAGCAGAATGAATTACATTTCTGCAGCGAGCCAGAATTTAAAGACGGGGGAGGATGAGATGGTACAGTGCTGCTCTGGCCACTACAGCCACAGGAATTTCCCCTCTTATCTGCCAAATATGAAAGTACTCATTATTCCTCCACTACCCTTTTTTTTATGCTGCCAGATAAAAAAATGCCTGTAATGATGATATATATTATATTTGGTATCTAGAGGGCAAAATCTGTTCTCTCCTAATGCACATCCATCCTTCTCTTTATTATTTTTCAGCCAAAACCAAAACACAATTCGCACATTACACAATGCGATTTATGTGCAATAGCATCAGCTTTTCCACTTATCAAAACCATTACAGTCATAAGCACATAACTCCCATTAACCTCAATGACAGTGACTTAAATGTGAGCCACAAGTGAGAATAAACCTTAAAGATGTGACTGAACAGCAGCAGCCCTTGTTTTCTGGTAGGTGTCTAATGGTGAGATGGCAGGGCCATTTCTTCCCTCCCCCTGCCTTATTTTTTTTTCCTTGTACGCAAATTGATTTTCCTCTTCTACAGGGTGGTTAATTTAGGCTGGGAGGTGCAGCCATTTAGATGTGCTTAACACTTTTGACGTGTCAGTTCAGGTAGTGATATACTTCATCAGGCGCGGGCGAGGTAAGGCATCCCGGGGAGCCGCGGCGAGCCAGGCAGGCTGCTCCCACTACATGCTAATGAGACAGTTTCTTGCAGGAGTTTCGGCTCTGTAGAAGCTGCAGGAGGTAGCATGGTTCATTAGGCTACAAAAGCTTTAATATGTTAAAGGAACTGGCTTTCCTCTCTCATTTAAGCGAATTGCTAAAAGCACTGCCTTGTTCTTCCACGGAACTTTGAATTCACTATTTTCTT